CACGCGCCACCATGCCCAGCTGATTTTTTTGTATTTTTAGTAGAGACGGGGTTTCACCATGTTGACCAGGATGGTCTCGATCTCTCGACCTCGTGATCCACCCGCCTCGGCCACCCAAAGTGCTGGGATTACAGGCTTGAGCCACCGCGCCCGGCCTCTTTTTTGTTTTTGAGATGGAGTCTCACTCTGTCGCCAAGCTGGAGTGTAGTGGCACAATCTTGGCTCACTGCAATCACTGCCTCCTGCATTCAAGTGATCTCCTACCTCAGCCTCCCAGGTAGCTGGGATTACAGGCAGGTGCCACCACTCCAGGCTAATTTTTTTTTTTTTCTTTTTTTTTTTGAGATGGAGTTTCACTCTTATTACCCAGGCTGGAGTGCAATGGCGCGATCTCGGCTCACCGCAACCTCTGCCTCCTGGATTCAGGCAATTCTCCTGCCTCAGCCTCCTGAGTAGCTGGGATTACAGGCATGTGCCACCATGCCCAGCTAATTTTTTGTATTTTTAGTAGAGACGGGGTTTCACCATGTTGACCAGGATGGTCTCTATCTCTCGACCTCGTGATCCACCCACCTCGGCCTCCCAAAGTGCTGGGATTACAGGCTTGAGCCACCGCGCCCGGCTCTAATTTTTATACTTTTAGTGGAGATGGGGTTTCACTGTGTTGGTCAGCCTGGTTGCAAACTCTGGACCCAGGTGATCTGCCTGCCTCAACCTCCCAAAGTGCTGGGATTATAGGCATGAGCCATAGCGCCCAGCCTACTGTTCCCTTTTTAAAACAGGAACCGCCCCTGAATTTAATTTTATGAAGTTTTACTTATGAATAAAGTTTGCAGTATTAAAAAAAAAAAGTAACCAGCCATGGCGGCTCACGCCTGTAATCCCAGCACTTTGGGAGGCTGAGGCGTGTGAATCACCTGAGGTCAGGAGTTAGAGACTAGCTTGGCCAACATAGTGAAACACCGTCTCTACTAAAAATACAAAATATTAGCCAGGCATGGTGACAGCGCCTGTAATGACAGCTACCAGGGAGGCTGAGGCAGGAGAATCACTCGAACCTCGGAGGCAGAGGTTGCAGTGAGCCAAGATTGCACCATTGCACTCTGCCTGGCAACAAGAGTGAAACTTCATCTCAAAAAACAAACAAACGAACACCCCAAACACACACAAAAGTAGAAAAAAAATAAAATTTTCTCTGTCTCATTATCTAAAGATAACTAGTATTAAAATGTCATCGGCCGGGCGCGGTGGCTCAAGCCTGTAATCCCAGCACTTTGGGAGGCCGAGGCGAGCGGATCACAAGATCAAGAGATCGAGACCATCCTGGTCAACATGGTGAAACCCCGTCTCTACTAAAAATACAAAAAAATTAGCTGGGCATGGTGGCATGTTCCTGTAATCCCAGCTACTCAGGAGGCTGAGGCAGGAGAATCGCCTGAACCCAGGGGGCGGAGGTTGTGGTGAGCCGAGATCACGCCATTGCACTCCAGCCTGGGTAACAAGAGCGAAACTCCGTCTCAAAAAAAAAAAAAAAGTCATCATATTTTCTTCCTTAAAACAAGAGTAATGCTGCCGGGCGCGGTGGCTCAAGCCTGTAATCCCAGCACTTTGGGAGGCCGAGGCGGGTGGATCACGAGGTCAAGAGATCGAGACCATCCTGGTCAACATGGTGAAACCCCGTCTCTACTAAAAGTACAAAAAATTAGCTGGGCATGGTGGCGCGTGCCTGCAATCCCAGCTACTCAGGAGGCTGAGGCAGGAGAATTGCCTGAACCCAGGAGGCGGAGGTTGCGGTGAGCCGAGATCGCGCCATTGCACTCCAGCCTGGGTAACAAGAGTGAAACTCCATCTCAAAAAAAAAAAAAAAAAAAAAAAAACAAGAGTAATGGATACATTACCCTTATTTTAACACAGCCATCGTCAAATTCTGTTCTTTTTTGTTTGTTTGTGTGTTTGTTTTTCATCCAGCTCAAAATGTCACGAACTCTATATTAAATACTGGGTTTAGTCGTTTTCATTTATTTTAACAATAATCATTTGGCTTTATTATAATGAGCTTTTAATGAATTCAGTTCACAGTACTATTCTCCTATAGTTGAGTGTTTTAGTATCAGTTTTTACATTATTAATAATGTTGTAATTGAATTGGTATTTTGGTACAGAAAGCTTTTATTATATTTAGAATTATTTCTTTAGGCTAGAGTCCCAGAACAAAGATCACAAAGTACAAACATTTTAAAGGTTCTTGACACTTTAAAAATGACTTTCCAACAGGGCATGGTGACGCATGACTATAACGTCAGCACTTTGAAGGCCCCGGAGTTCGAGATCAGCCTGGGCACCATAGCAAGAACCTGCCTCTATTATTATTATTTTAAAAAGTTAAATTTTTTTTTTTTTTTTTTTTTTTGAGACGGAGTTTCGCTCTTGTTACCCAGGCTGGAGTGCAATGGCGCGATCTCGGCTCACCGCAACCTCCGCCTCCTGGGTTCAGGCGATTCTCCTGCCTCAGCCTCCTGAGTAGCTGGGATTACAGGCACACGTCACCATGCCCAGCTAATTTTTTGTATTTTTAGTAGAGACGGGGTTTCACCATGTTGACCAGGATGGTCTCGATCTCTCGACCTCGTGATCCACCCGCCTCGGCCTCCCAAAGTGCTGGGATTACAGGCTGAGCCACCGCGCCCGGCCTAAATTTTTTAAAAATTAAAAAATTACTTCCTGAAGCATTTGCTAGTATACACGTCCACCAGCAATATGAGTCTCTGTGTCTCATTATTTTTTGAAAATATGAGCAATGTATTGCTGTGGAAGATACTTTGAGGCAGTGTCATATTTTGGGATGATGTGTCCTGAGCCCCAACAAAACATATTGTGAATCCCAAACCTCGAAATTGGCTAAGACCCAAAAAGTCGGTCATTTGCGTTTTGCGGATTAAATGAAACAAATCACCTTTCCCCCAACTGACAATTCCCCATCAGGGATCACCAAGGACCAGAAAGACCAGGGACTCTGGTAGAAGTCCGGGATACCATGAGGTCATTGCAAATGGCTTTGTTCCCTGGCTCTGTCACAGCCTGGGAGAACATTCCTAGGGATGACAGAGCTGGGGAGGACAGGACACACCCAGATTCTGTTCCTTACCCTCCTTCAGGCATTGCAGGCAGAACTGTGGTTTTGACTCATAAATGACTTGATGATGAGCATCTCCAGTGGAAGAGGGCAGTCTAGGCTGAGGCTCACTAGGGGAGAGAGGCAGGCCTGGGGGAAGGTGAGAGGCACCAAAGTCAGCATTGGTGACAAGGGTTACGCCTGTGTCGTAGCAAGGTTTGGCAAGCACCTCCCACAGCAAAAGCCTTCTAGAAAGCTGGCAGCATCCAAATATTAGCATCGAACTTAAGTAAACGGAAAGAGGTTATTTAATTCCCTTTAACTTATGTGTTTCTACATGTATATATATATATATCAAAATGTTAAGAGGCGTTCTTTTTTTTTTTTTTCCAAATTTCTGTTGATTTGCAAAGAGGGGTTATTTCTGTATTTCTGAGATGATGAGTGATTTTTATATTCTTCTTTATACTTGTATATTATTTGTAAATTTCTAAAATAAATAACTACCATTTTAAAATGGAAAACATCCAGACTCCATAAATCATTGCAAAAATAAGTGAAAACTCAATTGGAAGAAAATTCTAGTTAAATATGGTAGCTGGAACATCAAAATTTATGTCTTCTTCCTACTTGAAACATCACTAAACATTAGCAAAAGTATTAAAGCAGGCATAAATCCAAAAGACAAAAAACTGGGAGAAAGAAGATGACAATCGCTCAGAAATGTCCACAAAGTAGAGGAAGCCAAAAAGCAAGAGCAGAGAACTGGCACTGCATAGAGAAAGCTGCCGCTGGCTGGGCAGAGTGGCTCATGCCTGTAATCCCAGTATGCTGGGAAGCCAGAGTGGGCAGATCATGAGGTCAGGAGTTCAAGACTAGCCTGGCCAACATGGTGAAACCCCAAATCTACTGAAAATACAAAAATTAGCTGGGTGTGGTGGCGCGCACGTGTAATCCCAGCTACTTGGGAGGCTGAGGCAGGAGAATTGCTTGAAGTCGGGATGTGGAGGTTGCAGTGAGCTGAGATTATGCCACTGCACTCCAGCCTGGGCGACAGAGCCAGACTCCAACTGTGGTGGGGGACTGGAGGGGAAGAGAAAGCTGTTGCTTACAGCTGCTGCAGGGCCTGGAGGTTGAGGAGTCCAGTGGGAGGGAACAGCACAGGGCGGGGCAGGATGGGGCTAACAGCAGGACTGCTTTTTTATCTGTTTAAAAGCAGGCTGTGCCCCATAGAACAGGGCCTGCCCCATCTAGATGCTTAATAAACATTTGTCAATGAATGAGTGAAAGGGTAGAGGAATGGCCTTCCAGTTGGGACTGAGGCCTCTCTGGTTACCCTGTTAAGAAAGCGAATTGGCCTTTGGGACGTGCCTGCTCTTCGCCTTTTGCTGCTGTCCATTGATTTCTTTTTCCAGGAAGAAAAATGGCATCCAGATTGGGTGCGGTGGCTCACACCTGTAATCCTAGCACTTTGTGAGGCCGAGGTGTGTGGATCACCTGAGGTCCGGAGTTCAAGACCAGCCTGGCCATCATGGTGAAACCCCATTTTTTTTTTTTTTTTTTTTTGTGACAGAGTTTCGCTCTTGTTACCCAGGCTGGAGTGCAATGGCGCGATCTTGGCTCACCGCAACCTCCGCCTCCTGGGTTCAGGCAATTCTCCTGCCTCAGCCTCCTGAGTAGCTGGGATTACAGGCATGTGCCACCATGCCCAGCTAATTTTTTGTATTTTTAGTAGAGACGGGGTTTCACCATGTTGACCAGGATGGTCTCAATCTCTTGACCTCGTGATCCAACCGCCTCGGCCTCCCAAAGTGCTGGGATTACAGGCTTGAGCCACCGCGCCCGGCGAAACCCCATTTTTAAAAAGTAAAAAATAAAAAAAAATAAAATGGCATCTGTTGCAGGTGATTCACAACCAAGCGTGGTGGCTCAGGTGGTCAACCTGCCCTTGGTGAGCTCCACGTATGACCTCATGTCCTCAGCCTACGTCAGCACAAAGGACCAGTATCCTTACTTGAAGTCTGTGTGTGAGATGGCAGAGAAGGGTGTGAAGACCAACACCTTGGTGGCCATGATGCTCAGTGCATCTTCCAGAAGCTAGAGCCGCAAATTCCAGTTGCTGATACCTATTCCCATAGCGGGCTAGACAGGACTGAGGTTGTTGCCAATGCCCAGGGTGCTCTGACTCAGGCCAAAGATGCTGTGACGACTACTGCGACTGGGCCCAAGGATTCCGTGGTCAGCACGGTCACAGGGGTGACAGACAAGAGCAAAGGGAGGGTGATTGGTAGTGTAGAGAAGACCAAGTCTGTGGTCAGCGGCAGCATTAACGCAGTCCTGGGGAGTCGGCTGATGCAGCTCGTGAGCAGTGGTGTGGAAAATGCACTCACCAAATCAGAGTTGTTGGTGGAGCAGTACCTCCCTCTCACTGAGGAAGAGCTAGAAAAAGCAGCAAGAAAAGTTGAAGGATGGCTGGGCGTGGTGGCTCACGCCTATAATCCAAGCACTTTGGAGGCCAAGGCGGGCGGATCACCTGAGGTTGGGAGTTCAAGACCAGCCTGACCAACATGGTGAAACCCCGTCTTTAAAAAAAAAAAAAAAAAGAAATCAAAGAAAAGAAAAAAAGAAAAAAGAAGAGTTGAAGGATTCGGTATGGTTCAGAAGCTAAGCTGTTATGTTAGACTGGGATCCCTGTCTACCAAGCTTCATTCCCGCTCCTGCCAGCAGGCTCTCAACAGGGTTAAAGAAGCTAAGCAAAAAAGCCAAGAGACCATTTCTCATCGCCATTCTACTGTTCACCTGATTGAATTTGCCAGGAAGAACGTGCATCGTGCCAATCAGAACATTCAAGACGCTCAGGATAAGCTCTGCTTCACCTGGGGGGAGTGGAGAAGGAGCACTGGATACGATGATACAGATGAGTCCACTGTGCTGAGCACATCGAGTCACAAACTCTTGCTATTGCCCAGAACCTGACTCAACAGCTCCAGGCCACGTGCCACACCCTCCTGTCCAACATCCAAGGCTTACCGAAGAACATCCAAGATCAGGCCCTGCAATGGGGGTGATGGCAGGTGACATCTACTCTGTGTTCCGCAATGCTACCTCCTTTAAGGAGTGTCTGACAGCCTCCTCACTTCCAGCAAGGGGCAGCTGCAGAAAATGAAGAAATCTTTAGATGACGTGTGGATTATCTTGTTAACAACACACCCCTCAACTGGCTGGTACGTCCCTTTTATCCTCAGCTGACTGAGTCTCAGAATGCTCAGGACCAAGGTGCAGAGATGGACAAGAGCAGCCAGGAGGCCCAGCCATCTGAGTACAAAACTCATTAAACCTGCCCCTGTTGGCCAGACATGGTGGCTTACGCCTGTCATCCCAGTACTTTGGGAGGCCAAGTGGGCAGATCACAAGGTCAGGAGTTCAAGGCCAGCCTGACCAACATGGTGAAACCCTGTCTCTACTAAAAAAAAAAAAAAAAAAAAAATACAAAAACATGCCCCTGTCACCAGTGCGTGATGTAGCCAGCTAGATGACACCTTTTGTTATGTTGAAATTTACCTGCTAGGCAACCCTAAATTGGGAAACAAGTAGCTAATAAGAAGGCCCTCAATTATAAATATTTCCAGCTGAATTAAGGGTTTTAATGTTTCTGGCATTAGCAGATGATTTCTGTTCACCTGGTAAGAAAAGAGTGCTAGGCTTGTCAGAGCCTAGCCAGAACTCACAAAAAATTCAAGTGCACTTACGTTCTCATTCTGTGTCCATTGTGTTGCCTCTGCCACTGTTTGTAATGAATAAAAACATCTTCATGTGGGCTGGGGTAGAAACTAGTGTCTCCTCTGGTGTGATCTGAGCAGGCGTCTTTACTGGTTTATCTCATGATGATTGCTTCTACAACTTGATTTTATTTTTTTTATCTCTCAAATAGGAATACTACCTTTTTATTTGAGAAGGAGTCTCCCTCTGTTGCCCAGGCTGGAGTACAATGGCATGATCTCAGCTCACCATGACCTCCGCCTCCTGGGTTTAAGTGATTCTCCTGCCTCGGCCTCCCAAGTACCTGTGATTACAGGTGCCCGCCACCACACCCAGCTAATTTTTGTATTTTTAGTAGAGACGGGGTTTCACCAGGTTGGCCAGGCTAGTCTCGAACTCCTGACCTCATGATCCACCTGCCTTGGCCTCCCAAAATGATAGGATTACAGGCGTGAGCCACCGCGCCTGGCCAGAATACTACCTTTGATTTCAATAAAATTCACTTCAGGATAGACCAGTTTAAAAAAAAAACCACCTTTTCCTCCCTGATGCCACTGAAGTCACACGCGTGAGGTCTCTCTGCCGCTGCCACTTCAGATGCCACCAAGATGTACTACATGGCCTCCTACCTGCTGGTTGCCCTGGGGGTAACCCCTCCCCCAGTGCCAAGGACATCAAGAAGATCCTGGACAGCGTGGACAGAGAGGCAGACGACGACCGACTCAACAAGGTTATCAGTGAGCTGAACGGAAAGAACATTGAGGATATGATTGCCCAGAGTATTGGGAAGCTTGCCAGCATTCCTGCCGGCTGTGGCCATCTCTGCTGCCCGGGCTCCCCCATCCCCTGCTGCAGCAGAGGAGAAGAAAGATGAGAAGGAGGAGGAGTCTGAAGAGTCAAGACGATGACATGAGATTTGGCCTCTTTGATTAAACTCCTCCTCCCCTGTAAATAAAGCCTTTCTATGCATCTTAAAAAAAATAATAATAATAAAAGCACACATCAGAAGAAACTTTCCACATTGAGACACTGAATCTGTGCTCCCAAGGCTGAGGCCACATTGTGGCACTGGCACACAAGGGCTAAAGGCATGTGCACCCGTGCTCAGTGCCAGGCCTCCCTTGGTGTGGCTGCTGCCACCCTGTCACCTTGGCCCATTAGGAAGAGCCCAAGTAAATGGCTAGAACGGAGGGAAGAGGGAGGAACAGCTGGGGCTGGGAAGCAAGGATGAAGCTTGGCTGTTCCTAAGCCCAACTGCACGGGGCCTTGAGCATCTGTGGACAGGACACCATGAAAGCACTCACGGCCCTCTCCCCTGCTGGAAGATGGACATCCCTCGTCCCAAGCCAGGCAGCCTGCCTTCCGTGATTCTGGACCAGCACTGTCCCTGCCACTTGCCCTAAGGAGAGGATTGTTTCACACACCCTTAACACCTAACAGCCAGTCCTGCTCTCACCTAGGGGGACCCTCATTTATCAAATACCGCCTTTAATTTACACAGCTTGCATTCTCTCTGCCAGCCTGTGAGGAAAAACCATTTTTCCAGTCCTCTGAGGAAATGGAGGCTCTGAGAAGCTAAATAACAACCCACAGTCCGGTCTCTGCACCTGAGCCTGGCAAAGATTCCTCCGAGAGCTTTCCAGATCCACACTTGCTGACTGTGGCTTCTTCTCTGCAGGGCACTGGCTAGCCCTGGGGACACTCGAAGGTAAATGGGCCCTGTTTTTTTCCTTCCAGGAGTTTACTTATCTTAGAAGAGATTGGAAGGTAGCCACGTGGCTACAGAGCACGAGTCAGAACAGGGTCACTGTTGTAGGAGCACAAAGGAGAGAGAGAAATTCAGGTAGGGCTGGCAGGAAGAGTTCAGGGCCCTTTCTAAGGAAGGAGGACTCGTGTTGACTCTTGGGAGAAAGAAGGGTTCTCTAGGCAGTTTGGAAAGGAAGTCTGTCCTGTGCGGGGGACGCACGTGAGCCACGGTCAGCTGGGACAAGCTGGTGGGCAGCCTCAGAGGCCAAGGGCCGGGAGGGCGGGGGCTGAACCTCAGGTGGCTTCCCTGGCACCACTTGAAGGTCAGCTTCTAGGAGGCAGAGTCCAGGCAGGAATGCCTGAGGATGAGAAGGTATTGGGGAAGAAACCAGAGCTGGGCAGTGGGAACAGAGAGGAAGAGACCAACTGGAAGGACACTGCTGAGGGAAGGACAGAGGGCTGGGGACAGGGAGGGGGCAGGGGAGGAAGGCCCAAAGGAAGCCTTCCCCTTGGGCCACCAGGAGCCAAGAGGCACCCTATCTTCTTCTGCAGCGGGTGGGTTTTAAAGCTCTGTGTGTTAATTTCCTATCCAAAATTCCTTTGAAAAAATGGTCCATAATCCCAGCACTTTGGGAGGCCGAGGTGGGAAGATCACCTGAGGTTGGGAGTTTGAGACCAGCCTAACCAACACGGAGAAACCCCGTCTCTACTAAAAATACAAAATTAGCAGGGTGTGGTGGTGTATGCCTGTAATCCCAGCTACTCAGGAGGCTGAGGCAGAAGAGTTGCTTCAACTGGAAGGCAGGGATTTCAGTGAGCTGAGATCATGCTATTGCACTCTAGCCTGGGCAACAAGAGTGAAACTCCATCTCAGAAAAAAAAAAAAAAAAAAAAAAAAAAAATAGACCTATGAGGCTGGGCGTGATGGCTCACGCCTGTAATCCCAGCACTTTGTGAGGCCAAGGCAGGTGGATCACCTCAGGTTGGCAGTTTGAGACCAGCCTGACCAACATGGAAAAACCCTGTCTCTGCTAAATATACAAAATGAGCTTGATGTAGTGGTGAATTCCTGTAATCCCAGCTACTTGGGAGGCTGAGGCAGGAGAATTGCTTGAACCCAGGATGCAGAGGTTGCAGTGAGCCAAGATCATGCCATTGCACTCTAGCCTGGGCAACAAGAGCAAACTCCATCTCAAAAAAAAAAAAAAAAAAAAAAAAAATTAGCCAGGCATGGTGGTGCACACCTGTAATCCTGGCTACTCAGGAGGCTGAGGCAGGAAAATCCTTGAATCTGGGAGGCAGAGGTTGCAGGTAAGCTGATCGTGCCACTGCACTATAGCCTGGGCAACAGAGCAAGACTCCGTCTAAAAGAAAAAAATAGACCAATGAGTGGATAAACAAACTGTGATATGGACACACAATGGAATATTACTCAGCTTGAAAAAGCAAGGAGATTCTGACGTGTGCTACTACGTGGATAACGTTGTTATGAACATTGTGATGAGTGAGATAAGCCAGACACAAAAGGACACATCCTGTATGGTTCCACTTACATGAGGTCACTAGAATAGTCAAACTTGTAGTGACAGAAAGTAAAATGGTGGTTGCCGGGGCCTGAGGGGAGAGCAACGGGAAGTGAGTGTTTAATGGGTGTGCAGTTTCAGTTGGAGAATGTGAAAAAGTTCTGTGGATGGGTAGTGGTGATGGTTGCACAACAAAGCGAATGTACTTAATGCCACTGAACTGCACATTTAAAAACGGTTAAGATGCTACGTTTCAGACGGGTGTGGTGGCTCACGCCTGTAATCCCTGCACTTTGGAAGGCTGACGTGGGAGGATAGCTTCAGTTTAGGAGTTCATACAAACCACAGTGCTTCCATTATTCATGTTAAAAAGTAAAAAAAAAAAAAGGCGTTTAAAACCATCCTGGGGCCAGTCACAGCAGCTCATGCCTGTAATTCCAGCAGTTTGGGAGACCGAGGTGGGTGGATCACTAGACCATCCTGGTCTACATGGTGAAACCTTGTCCCTGCTAAAAATACAAAAATTAGCTGGGTGTGGTGGTGGGCACCCAGTTACTCAGGAGGCTGAGGCAGGAGAATTGTGGTGGGCGCCCAGCTATTCAGTAGGCTGAGGCAGAGGTTGTAGTGAGCGAAGATCGCACCATTTCACTCTAGCCTGGGCAAAAGAGCCTTAGGAAAAAAAAAAAAAAGAACCAAAAAATGAAAGAAACAGCCTGGATAACACAATGAAACCTGTCTCTGCAAGAAAATACAAAATGCAAAAATCAGCTGGGCGTGGTGGCATGCACCTGTAGTCCCAGCTCCTTCAGAAGCTGAGGTGGGAGGATGATTTGAGTCCAGGAGGTACAGGCTACAGTAAGCCGAGATGGTTCCACTGTACTCCAGCCTTGGCGACAGAGTGAGACCCTATCTCAGAAAAATGATACAATACATTTTAGGTATATTTACCACACACACACACAAACAGGCCAGTGCAGGATGAACCAGAAGAGAGCTGCTTTGTTCAGTATGAATGACTAAAGTGATGATGCCATCCACCAAGACAGGAAGCAGACCGAGTGAGCAGGTTTGTGGGGTGAGATGAGGTCAGCTCTTGGAGGTGACAATGCTCTTGATGATCAAGCCTTCAGCAGAGGCCCCCTGTGCCCACATGGGAGGTGCTTTGCCCCCTCCTCCATCAGCCTCGCAAGGCAAAGGCTCTTGCTTTCATTTCACAGGGGAGCTGATGGCATTTAGCCAGTATGACCCAGTTTTGTCCAGCCCACTGTGTCAGGCTGGGTTTGGGTGCTGAGGGCCATCCCCTGTGATGTGGCCAGTGGGGAGGGTGTGACCTGGAGCTGAGAGAGCAGATGAGAGTGAGAGGAGCTGCAGCGTTTCCTGCACTGAGATCCTGGTAAAGCCACGGGCATGGCTTAGCCCCTGCAGGAAGGAAGGAAGAGGAGGAGAAGTGAGGGCCAGCCCTGGGGGAAGCCCTACATGTAAGACTCTCTACTGAGTCCTGCCGACCGCAGCAGCTCCTCCTGGAGAAACGTCCACCCCCATGTCCCCAGGTGAAGACCTCGGCCTTGCTCAGCTCCTGCCCAGCAGCTGATGCTGCAGCCTCTGCCAAGCATGAGGAGAGGAGCCAGCTCACAGTGACTCATTCTAAATCAGGCTGGCTCCATGGGTGTGGACCAACGCCCCAGACCGCACCTGGCAGTGAGGAACCACGGGAGGAGAGGTCCGTGCTGCACTCCACTGGACGGCACTTGGAGTCTTGGCGGAAGCAAAGACACCAGCCTGACACCCAGCCAGCCCAGCCAGTGATGGGTGGAGAGGAGGCAAGGCTGGGGGCTGGTGGGTGACTGTGTAATTCCCAAGCCGGGTGAAAATCTGTACCGGTTTTGAGGAGGAGGTCACTTCCCAGCTCCAAATAATAGAAGCATCCAGAAGGAAATAACCGGAGGCTTCTGCCAATTGATCGGGAGACTGGGAAAAGGTCCCACAGTTATTAATAACCTCTGTGTTCTGGGAACTGATTTCATGCACCAGACAAAAGGATTAAAAAGTTGCTGTTGAAGGCAAAGTGGTTTCAGCCAACCCTCTCCTTTCTGTCTTCCAATAAATAAGCATTTTTCTTCACGGGAACCCTTTGAGATGATTGGCCCCTTGACAGATCTGGTGAGCTGGGAGCTGTGTGGCTGACTGGTTTATTTTGGTAACCACTCTGTCCTCGTGAAGTACTTTCTGCGGGCAACCCTCATTTCACTCGCTCTGAGTGTG